TGTTTTTATGTATCTTCTCATTTTATTATTATTGCCTGAACAGGGAGTTTTCAGAAGATCCTTGCTCCTCTTTAAAAAGAGGCAATATGGTCCGTGCTGCAAGAAATTTGTTGTCTGCTGTAACTCGTTTACTTATTTTAGCAGATATGGTTGATGTGCATTTATTATTGAAATCCTTGCATGTGGTGGAGGATGATTTACAGAAATTGAAAAATGCATCCTCACAAGGAGAACTATTGGAAAACATTAAACAGTTTGGAAGAAATGCATCTGAACTGATGAATCAAGCTGCAAAGCGTCAACAAGAATTAAAAGATCCTCAGTTAAGAGATGACTTAGCTGCAGCCAGAGCTGTACTCAAAAAGCATTCCACTATGCTTCTTACTGCCTCTAAAGTTTATGTTCGACACCCAGAGTTAGCTGCAGCAAAAGCAAATCGTGATTATGTTTTGAAACAAGTATGCGAAGCTGTGAACACTATCAATGATGTTGCACAAGGAAAAACTCCTGTTGATAGTCAACATCCTTATGAAGGACCTGGTGAACTGGCTGCTGCATTAGATGATTTTGATGAGAGAATGGTAATGTCTCCACTTGCTTACAATGAAGTACGTACAAGACCCAGCCTGGAAGAAAGATTAGAAAGCATCATCAGTGGTGCAGCACTGATGGCAGATTCTTCGTGTACTAGAGATGAGCGTAGAGAACGCATTGTTGCAGAATGTAATGCAGTGAGGCAAGCTCTTCAAGATTTGCTCAGTGAATATATGAATAATGTAAGTATTCTTTAAACGATTCTCTTTAGTAATTTAAAAATATGATTATATAATATGTGTACAAGCTGTCTACATGTAGAACAGAGTGAAACAGTTCCTTCAATTTTTCACTGATTTAAGTTGATTTATCTTCCATTCATGAAATATATCTTTATACATTACATTTTCCAGTTATATAAGTTTTTACACGAAAAATTTGCTTAGAATGATTTATCTCTATTTTAATATGTTCATTCTACTCATTTGTTCTTTATTTTGATGACTGCAGTTACAGCTCGCTCGGGGTGGGAAACGGGTAAATATAAAAACTTTGTGTTCTGGCACTCTCCTTGCATATAATTCTCTAAGTCAAAGCAAAATATATTAATTACTGAACACTTTATTAGTTCTCACATGTATTATTCCTATTTTCCTGTGATGTTTCATAACAAGCACTAATTCAATAATTCTTAACAGCAGAGTGTCTAAATTTTACAATTGATTTTTTATTTGCACAACTGTACATATAATATTCTTCCTCGATTTGTAATATAGTCTCCAGTTGATAGAAATAAAGAGGTACATAGAGTAGATCTTATAGTGCATACATCTCAAATGTAACTTTAAATTTGCTGAACTTAGGCAGACTGTAGATAGAAATTGCAATCAAAGTAAACATGTAGTTCGAACCGATTTAAAATTGCTCATAAGTTCCACGCGTGTTTATTTCTTTATTAATACGAAAATATTATAGTACTATGCAAGGACTTGCATCGAGTGTATAAGTTTACACTTTCTCCTTTATGTTTGCTTGTGTACATAGCTTTTTCTTAATGATTTCATATTACATGAATTAAAAAACTACTTCTCCTTAAACATACTAAATACGCAGTTTCTAATAATCGTATTAATTAAAATCTTTAATATTTTGCACTCTAATAACCAGTTAGTGAAACAATAGCATAGTCTTTACTTGAATGCCCATGTACTGCTAGTTACCGTACTTTACCCTAACACTTCATTTACATTTCAATAGATGGGCGTCAAAGAGCAGTCCGAAGGCTTGGAGAGGGCGATCGATCACATGTGCAGAAAAACAAGGGATCTTCGTAGGCAATTAAGAAAAGCTGTGGTCGACCACGTGTCCGATAGCTTCTTGGAAACAAGCGTGCCCTTACTGGTTCTGATCGAGGCTGCAAGAAACGGTCGCGACAAAGAGGTTGAAGAGTATGCTCTTGTCTTTACAGAACACGCGAACAAGTTAGTCGAGGTAACCTTTGAAATCTCAACAATCCTATTATTGTACAGTGTCCTTGATTTTTCTGCAGTTTTTGAAATTCCCAGTACAATTTAATAAAGTTCCATTCATTTGATTAGGTTGCCAATTTAGTATGCAGTATGTCAGGAAACGAGGACGGTGTGAAAATGGTACGTTACGCTGCAGCTCAAATCGGAAACTTATGTCCACAAGTGATCAACGCAGCTCGAGTGTTGGCAGCTCGTAACCGCTCCAAAGTAGCTCTGGACAACATGGAGGTGTTCCGTCAGGCATGGGAGAATCAAGTGAGAGTGCTGACAGAAGCAGTCGACGACATTACTACCATCGACGATTTCCTGGCGGTGTCTGAGAATCACATCTTGGAGGACGTGAACAAATGTGTCCTGGCATTGCAAGAAGGCGACGCAGACACCCTGGACAGAACCGCGGGCGCGATTCGTGGCCGGTCGGCCAGAGTGTGCAACGTTGTCCAAGCCGAGATGGACAATTACGAGCCTTGTATCTATACCAAACGGGTTTTAGAAGCCGTGAAAGTTCTGAGGGAACAAGTAATGCCGAAATTTGCGCAAAGAGTAGAAGTCGCGGTAGATGCTTTGGGTAGTAATCCTGCTAAAGACGTGGATGAGAATGACTTTATAGACGCTTCAAGATTAGTTTACGACGGAGTCCGTGAGATTAGACGCGCTGTACTGATGAATAGAGTAAGAACATTTTTAGTTTAAAGCCACTGCCAAACTAAACGTTCACTTGTCTGTTGTACCTGTCTGATTCTCTTGTAATTTTTAGGCGGACGAGGACTTGGATCCTGAAGACGTCGAGCTGGATGAACATTACACACTGGAGACTCGCAGCAAATCAAGCGCTCAAACTGGCGAGCACGGCGTCGACGAGTATCCAGAGATCAGTGGTATAACGACCGCCCGCGAAGCTATGCGCAAGATGCCAGAGGAGGATAAGCAGAAGATCCTGCAACAGGTGGAATACTTTAAGAGTGAGAAACTGAAGTTCGACAAGGAGGTAGCCAAATGGGACGACGCTGGGAACGACATTATTGTGCTGGCAAAGCACATGTGTATGATCATGATGGAAATGACAGATTTCACCAGAGGCCGTGGACCACTGAAAACCACTATGGACGTGATCAATGCAGCGAAAAAGATTTCCGAGGCTGGGACGAAATTAGACAAATTAACTAGGCAAATTGCAGATCAGTGTCCAGAAAGTTCTACCAAGAAAGATCTTCTGGCGTATTTACAGCGTATAGCATTGTACTGTCACCAAATGAATATAACTAGTAAAGTGAAAGCAGATGTACAAAACATTAGTGGGGAATTGATCGTATCCGGACTGGATAGTGCGACTTCTCTTATTCAGGCAGCCAAGAACTTAATGAACGCGGTGGTTCTTACCGTTAAAGCGTCGTACGTCGCGTCGACGAAATATCCTCGACAATCTACAGTAACTGTGAGTATCGTCAACGTTTTGCAATTGGTTATATTATACTAACATACGTAGATTTACGCGTGAACGACTAACATGAAAATTTGTTTGTAAATTAACGATTGGATTATACAGTATGTGAGTATTTATGTAACTGTACCGTAGCGGATTGTTTACACCGAGAATGTTTAATCCATTGATGTTCTGTTCGCACAGTCTCCAATTGTTGTATGGAAAATGAAAGCTCCAGAAAAGAAGCCATTGGTACGACCTGAGAGACCAGAAGAAGTTAGAGCCAAAGTACGTAAGGGTTCACAGAAGAAAGTGCAGAATCCGATACATGCACTTTCAGAATTTCAAAGCCCTACAGAGAGCGTTTGAACTCTCGAGTGTAAGTAATTTAATAAAAATTAAACTTAGACACAGCATCACCTTTGGAGAGCCATTTGAGCAAGATGTTTTATTTTCTACCGGATACAATGTTCACAGAGTTGATCTGCATTTATTATCGATTTCTTATGTATCGTGAGATGTAGACACTCTTTCTGCAAATCGATATCGTAGAAAGTTAACAGACAAAATTAAGTGTTGCTAACATATTTTAAATATCCATCAGTGTACAATCATATTATAGTGTACTAATAGTTATAACACTTGCTAGCGAAGAAGTAATTGAAAAAGAATTTAAACGTTAAGATTTAAAGATTGATTTTATGTTTGAAATTGTGATGAAAACGGGAAATATTTGCAACAAAATTATGATGATGGGAAACATTTGAAAATAAAATATCTTGCATAAAGTAAGTGTTAATATTCTTTGTAATTATCGATTGATAAATATTTGAGAAACAAAAGAACACAATACGATGATCATGTCAATTCTCAAATGGAACTTAATTAGATCTCAAAGATTCATCTTTTTTTTGTAGAATATATATATATACATAAAATTTAGATTTGAATTATATACAAATTAATAAGTGTCAACTATATTTCATAGGGTATAAGAACGTTTTATGATTTGATAATACATTGTTTGATAACTCATACTGATTATAATGTTTTAATCACTATGAAGTACGTACGGATATTTAAGTAAATCATACTTTACTTGAATGAAAGAAATTTACAATTTTTTATTACTCGTAAATACTAATAATTGAATATATATTTTCTTGCAAGAAAGAACTTCATGCAAAAAATGTGACTCTAATATATTAATTAATAATCGACAATAGCAATTAAGTATTGAAAGGATGCCAATTTTTTCATTATTATGTGTACAATTGATATACAAATATAAATTTTTTAATTATATACATAAATTTTTATTGAAATTTTACTAAATAATATCGAACGATGAGTGGTGTGTGTATATTTACGTATACGCGCACAACAGCTTATCCAAAGGCCTCATATTTTTTATGTTGCAATGTTATACAAGGATTTATATCTACACTAACTGAGATACTTCAAACAAATTCGATTTCTTTCAAGTTGTCTTTTTCGACTATTCGACCATTAGTACACTTTCCTATACATATCCAAGAAAGAGACGTTTCTTAGTGACAGAATGGGATACCTTTTGGAGTATTTAAATATTTGATAACTTTTGATGACAAAAGTTGCTGCTTCAAGTAATTTTAAAACTAATCATAGGTCTTAAAACATTTGCTAATACGTTACACTACCGTCAGTTTCTTATCGAAATATATTCTTTGACAATAATATATCGCTGCATACTCTGTTATGCTTTTATATAAACTCAACTAAGGTACAGATCTTAACATCTTCCAGACTATTACTACAGTAAAGATTCCTACTGATTAATATACAACTGTAATTGGATCTATTTATATTAAAGTATGTTACTTCTTTTAATATGTTCTGAACTATACAGGTTTGGCTATTAGAAATATAGTTTATTCATAATTCTTCTGATTCGTGAAACACTGTGGATTTTATATTAGAAAATTCTGATAAAGTGCTGCTTTGATTTTGTGGAAGGAATAATTTTTTCAGTTGAAAATAGTAGTTTCTATTAACAAGACTTACAGAAAAGCAATAAGAAGTAAAACAGTATTGCAATAAAGAGACTGCAGGATGAAGTATTTAACAATTGTATATAAGTAAATATGAGTACACATTTTTAAAGAAATCTTGTTTATGATGATTTTGTAACACACATAGCCAATAAGAATTAATTGTAAAAAAACTGATACCAATTCCATACTGATAACTATGATTTTCAGTCGTGCATAACAATTAACTTACTAACAATTTTCTTTCACGTTGAATATATTTATTTTCTTAGGATCCTCATCAGTCGAAATTTATTGCACCGACGAATTTTGTAGCAAAAGTTGCATGCCTATGAAAATATATACATGTGTGTTATACATGCAACAAGTATGTAATGGTAACATATAAATTGCACTCTACATTATGGCATTTATCATTTGATTTACATTAATGTAATTGTTGTAGTAGGTGTTGCCCATTGAAGTACATTAAAAAACGTTTGCAGAAAGTGTGGGATACAGAGAATTGTGGATTTTGTAGGTTTCAACACGAGATATGTATTGGTATCAATTTTTTACTTTTGTAAGAGAAATACTAATTTATATAGATATAATTATAAGATTAAATTGTAGTTACTGATATGCTGCCAAATATAAGGTGATGCTTTTAACAAATATTTTCTTCCTGTCATTATTATTAGGTTCATATATGCATATAAATTTTAACATATAAGATAAAACGAGAAAGGAGGAGGAGGAGGAGGAGGAGAAGGAGGAGAGAGGGTACTGTGGAAAGATTAAATAAAATACACAGATTTGTATTTTATATGCTTCATTTACATACTAAATGATACAGAAATAATGATACTAGATGAGAATCGCAA